GTGCTGATTTGAATGCTTTGCTGCACTATTCAAGCTTCACTACTTGGCTCTATGAAGATTTCAATTTGATCATTTTTTAAGTCATTATGTGGGGAATAAGAGAATGTTCATTAGAATTGGTTTACTATCCGTTGAGGCCTTTGGAACTGCTGAATTCATTATTGTCTCTGTTGTTTTTGTGTGTTATTGATCAGTTGGAAACATACCACACTTCTGGTACTGTGGTTTTTAGCTGTGGACACCTTTTTCTGACCTCGTTTTCTTAGTTTCTCTGCTTATACTCTATATTTAGTATGAAACAAATAGAAAAATCGTTTGTTATTTTCACAGGGTCTATATTGTGAAAAGTTGGTAGTCTGTTTGTTTTTTTCATCCCAAAAGCTAGTCTAATAACTAGCCCATTTGTTTTTTCTTAGGGCCCAAATATTGCTTAAAGTCCAAAGTCCCAAAACAAATTTGAGGAAAGGCCCAAACATGGCTAATCAATGTCCTCTTCCTCACTCCTCAATTGCCCTAAAAACGACATAGCCAACACACTCCTCAAGCTTTTATCTTCATCATCAGCCCCAAATCCTAATTCCCAACTCAATCTTCAACACATTTTTTCTCTCATCGCAGCATGACCACTGTTCACTGTCATCTTCCACCTTGAACAAAAACACACAGCCGCCACTCTCAGCCACCTCTCAAGAATCTTAATCATCATCACTGATGCTCCTTTTTCTTTCCTTGAAGATTTTGATAATCATCTCGTTGCAAAAATTCAACTTTCCCTCCTGGGATTCCGTCATCTGCTTATTCTCCCATTTTGTTTCAACTATTCTCACAGAAATAATGTTTAGGTGACTTGTTGCCCCTAGAATCAGGTATTCTGGCTTTGCCGCAACAGTAGCACTTGTCTCAAGGTCCTCATGTGAAAATTGTGACATTTGTCCAGAATCTCCATTTCTTCCTTCTCATTTTCTCTTTGTAGAGGGTTTCTGTTATTTTTGTGAACCCATTTTTGTTTCTCCATAATGGCAAACAGGATTCATGAGATTGCTGCAATTGTAAGGCGTTGTGTCAGGAAGGGTCAGATGGCATAGCCTACTCCTTTGTGCCAGACCCGTATTGGTTTCGTAAATACGGATCATGATTTAGTACCCTCAGCTGTGCTTGAAACCTTGCAATTGATTTTGCTGCACATACATTTTTTTTTCTTGACTATTCCCCTATGTGATCCATGTTTATAAAACATCAAATTTGCTAGCTTCCCTGTAGTTTGTAGTTTTTGAATTTCTTTGTTGCTTGAATCTTCCATTTTTGCTTTTATACTTGCATGGACAAGACTAATTCTCATTAATGGTATCTGGTTAAGTCATGGACTCTGGATTCGGTTTGTCTCCTTAATGCAAGGTTGTGGCGGAAAGTATTTGATATGGAGATAACATGTTGATTTCTGTTGCTAGGAATTGTTGCAAAATAGGGAGCATCCTGGAAATGAGCTAGTTAGTGCTGAACAAGCTGAAGATCTTAAGATGAAAGAAAAAAGAAAGCGAGATAGGGAGGTTCGTATTATCTTTTATTGACACAAGTACAAAATTGTGGGCGTAAGTTGTCATACACATTTTTATCTGATTGTTTTCTTCAGAAAAATCTTCCTAGAAAGAAAAGGAGGAAGTTGGAAGCAGCTAGAGAGAAACTGGAAGATGACAGTGAAGTTCTCCAGGTATGTACTCTTGCTCTTTACTTTTTGCCTCTGACTGTTTATGACTAAATTCTTGCTATGATTGCATGCACGTTGTAGCTTCCTTTGTTGCTGACCTGCTTTACTTTCTTTGCCAGTGTTATCATTTACAGTTCTTTAATTGACTGTCTTTTGTTCTTTTAGCTAGTTTCTCGAGTATTGGGTTTAGCAATAATTTTTTTCCCCTCCAGGGCATTGACAAAAGTAAGAAAGAGAATGCTGGAATTTCCCTTGTTGATTTAGCTTATCGGCGGGCAAAAGCTGTGAAAGCTGTGAAAAGGGCTACTGACGCTGGAAAAATTACAAGAAGGGTGGAAAAGAAATCCAAACATCCTTCCCAGAAAACCCAATCTAGAATGGAAGAGATGCGGGAGCTTTTTCAGAGTGACATGAGTGAGAAAAAACAGAAAAGAAACCCCCAAGGAGGTGGGAAGAAGAAATCCTCATTCAAAAGCAAGTCAAGGTATGAATCTGGTCATGTTTCTCGTCATATCCTATATGTAGAGTCTTGATACACTGGCCGAATGCTGAGTACTCCAAAGATAAACTCTGCCTCATAAGTTTTTAAAAGACCATGCGAGTGACTAAAACATAGGATCTGGTTATGCCTAATGTTAAGATTTTTGGACGTCAGAGGTTGGAGAGTATATCATATTGTCACATATGTATTGACTTGAGCTTGTTACTTGAGTTGCGCAATAGCAGTTTGATCTTCTGCATGGGCCTGGAAGTTGGAAATGGGCAATGCTATTCAAAATGCGTTCTTAAGACCATTGTTACTGATGCAGGTACAAACGGAGGTAGCAGAACAAGTAGAAGAGAGATTAGATTACACTGGAAGTAGAGATGCGTTTTTGTTTCAGAATTACATCTGACCGACCTTGAGCAAATACATATATTTTTTTAAGTTTTAGTACGGCTGTAATATAGCTGCAAGTGTTTCTTAGTGGACGGTGATTAATTATTCACTTCTGTACATTCTTTTTGGCATAAACAGCGTTTTACGTCTACCTCTAATTATTCAGGTAGTGAGTAGCAAACTCGTGATATATCATCCTTGGCGACTTTTTGTAAACTCAAGCCACCTGGGAATCGAAGTCAAAAAAAAATTCCTCGTTTATTAGCTTGGCAAACAAAGTTTTTCTTCTTCATTTTTTTTTTGTTGGAGACAATCATGAATTAATTGGGCCTCTGATTCTGTTGTTTCTGCTTTATTAGTCGATGCATATGTTGCATTTAGTTGATGAAAATTTTCACTGGCTTCAGTCACGTAGGCAAGGAGGAAGTGCGAAAGGACGGCACCTTATTGCGAGAATTTTTTTGAAAGAATAATGATCGTACTAGTTGCTTAGTCTCCAAACAAATAGCTCCAATTCGACTGTAATCGTCGTCCTGCTTTCCCATTTCGTTGTAGAGCGTTTGATACCCCCTTACTTACTAAACTAGTGAAATGAATGAAACGGATTTGTTTTACCCTCATCTAATGCATTCTGAATTGCGGACGTGCAAATCCCTCGCGGACTAGACTCGTGAAGAACTTCCAAGTTCAAACTTGACGCGGCCAGTTCATGGGAGTTTACGAGCCTTAAAAAGAGTTACCAAACAGACCTGGTTAGTCGCTTGGTCGGTCGCAGAATATGATCGGTCCGACGGATGACTCTCGCGGACAAATTTTAAGGCAGAGCCGATGGCTTTCCTAGTTAGCAGTCAAACTGATGACACAAAACTAACGGTCAAGAGAAACATGGGTATCAGATAAGTATCAAAGTAACAGTGTTGCTGCTGGGTTTTTTTAATCTTTTTTTCCTTCCAAAATTTTTTTTTTTATCAATCGTCAACCCTACTCCTAATCCTACTCTATTCTAATTTAACTATGAGGGAGATCCAACTGGACCTATGGGGGGATCGATGGGGACAGAACCACCACCGGACCAGACAGGTCTATCACACACCCATCTGAATTTTTTTAAGAACTACAACTGTGGCGAATCTTGCCTCCCATCCTACCAAAGTCTTAAAGGCTTTGTGGTGGCCATTAGCCTAAGGCTGATAGGCTGATGGTTATTTTTTTCCTTCCAATTGCTGCTGGATTTTCTGAGATTGACTGGTTCGATGCACACTGTAACCCGTAAGGGTCTTGTCAAAGTAAAAAAAGAATTGAAAGAAAAAAAGGAAGGGGAAGGAAGAAAGAAAAAATTTGCTTCACTCTCTCTGTCTGCTCTTTTTCACCGGTGGCGGCAATCAATCTGGCCGTCCGCGCTAGAACCCTACTCAATACAAACGCAGTTCATATAGGCATTTATCGAACACATCCAGGGCAGAAAGAAAGATACCTTCTGTCAAATTGTAATATAATTGAAACCAAAAATATTGCCACTTTGAGTGCACTGCTTCCACCTCAATCATGTTTACTACAATCAATTTGCAAAAATAAATTCCATTAAAATAAGAAGAATTACTCTCAGTTTTTTCTTGTCCCCCAAAATCTTCCCCCATCCTACAACATCTTGACGGATGATGAAATCCAGAGAGGCCGAATAATGGCTGGGATTGATGAATGAGAGGCATGCTAGTGGACAACAAATTGACTCAATTAGAACATGGCTAATTTTGCAAGGACGTAATAAAGAAGGAATGGTCCCAAAATTCTACTAAAACGATAGGAAGGACTGGTCCTAAAATTCTGTGGAAGCACAGTAATTTACAATGGACTGGTCCTAAAATTTGATGATGTTAGCGTCAATCTACGTCACAATCTTCAGAATGGGATGCGGCGCGAAGAAGATGTGCATAAATCCATATTCAACATCTTTACTCGAAAATTGTGGACCCCGAATGTGTTCGAGTGAACTCTTATTCATCAAATTTCGTAAACAATTTTGTGGCCTAGTCAAAATTTCACGCTAGGATGCTTTAATATAAGATGCACTTGAGTGAAAAGAGAAGGTTTCTTTAGACCTGCTCAGCATCAATTTTGATTCACTTGTTTTGGGCAATTACATAATCAACCCAACCTTGTTAATTGTCAGCCTGGATGGAGAACTCTTAGAATATTAACTAGGAGAGGAACACCGCACCATGTGCGGTGTGATGTTACAAGTTTAATATGCCCAGTGGGAAGTTAAAAGGCTAATATGACCAGAGCCCTCGTTGGATGTATTTTTCCAACTAAAAATTATTTTTTTATCATTTTCTGTACGTGGTAGATAATGAAGTATTTTGTCAACATTTCAATTAAGAAAAGAAATAATACTAATAAAGTTGAAGAGCATAATAACACATAATTGAGGTAAGCTCCCCAACGGTACAATGCATCTCATTACCTGTGAAAAATTACAATTTAAGATATAAGATACATTCATCTAGAAGTATTGACTGCTATATCTAGAAATGCCTCTCGTCTTTTCTTATCTAGTCTCTAGTGCCGCGTTCAATCAGCCAATTCTAGTGGAACTATGTATTAGTAGTGAAAATTTCAAAAAAAATCTTCACAAAGTTTGATATCTATACTATAGCAAGTGGTTGTTGACGTAAATAATGACTTTTGCTAAAGATATTGGAAAGGAGAAAACAAAGTATCAAGCATTCATGACAAAAAAACCATGAGCTTCCATTAGCTTCCAAGTTCCAGCTATCTAAATATCAATCAGATCTGCCAAGAAGGAATTATATTAGAATTTAATAACATTTTGTGTAAATAGTAGAATGACAATCTTGTTAAATCACAGGTGACGCACCCATAATTTTTGCCACACTTCATTGCAAAATTTTAAGGAAATACTAAAGCATGAAATATAAAACAAAGTCATCAAGAACACATTCCGTACTCCTAAGTTTGAGCGCCACCATTATATTTGAATAATATCTCTTGCCATTCAACTTCTTCTCAAACATTAATGTTGGATATATAAATAAAGAATAGAAAGCCGACAAATAGCAGATGCATTTTGAGCCACCATCTTATTTTGATAAATACCTCCTGCCAGCCAATTTTTCTCAAACATGAATGCTAGGTAAATAAATAAAGAACAGAAAATAAAAAACAACATGCATTTTGGCTTATAAATCATGCAGTTATATTTCATTCATGCCACATTTTCGCCAAGACAACATGAATGAACATAGGACATCAATTTAAACTAAAAGAAAATTTTCTCTTCTTTCTTAAAAAGCTCAATGACAGAACAAAAAGCTCCAAAAAATCAAGCAAAAGCTACAGAGAAATTTCAATATATTAGTTTGGTTTTTTGTTAGAGTTTATTTTTTAAATCCTGAAACGCAATTTATTCTCTATGTAATTCTTAGATTTTAATTTTCTTTTTTACATAAAGGTGTTAGAAAATTCTAGTTGCTTAATTGAGAAAAGGTAGAGAAGCTAAGGAGTAATCACCACCTATTGATCATTCCCCAGTATACACAATTTGGCTAGAAATTTAGGGCGGCAATATTTAAACTTACAACTGGGCTGGAGCACATGAACATTCTTTTTCTATATACAAAGATCTTATCTTAGAGGTTCTTTTAGCCATTTCAGTTACATCATTCCAACTACTCAAACACGAAAGCATTAGAAGGTACAGGACAACGAGTAACAAAAGCTACAATCAGTCAATGTACATCATTTTCTTAGAAATTACTACGTCTAAAGAGTAATTCAAAAATGACACCATCAAAGCAGAGAAAAAAATTTATAATGATTTCATCAGTAATCATAACTTTCAATGAAATAGGGTGAAAACAATTGCTATTAAACATTGAATAAAGATCTTACTGGAATGGAGCAGCCAAAGAAGACTTGCAACCTCTTATTGATGAATTTACTAAAATAGGTAAAAACTAAAGGAACTGACTCTAAATCTAAAGGAAATGCAGTACCTTCACAAAATTTCATACTCCATTTTTTTCAAGAATAGTAAATAGGGTAAAGTGACCAGAAAATTATAGTAAAATGCTAAGAAAAAAATGAAGAGAACACTAAAACATCAAAACATACCTTTAAGGCTAAATGAAAAAAATTAGTCTCCTTTTTGCTTTGTTCCTTCATCTAACAAAAATTTAGAATAAATAAATATCAGAAAAATCCAATTTATTAGGAAAAATGAAATTATATTAACTTTTCTCTATAGGAAAAAAACAGAGAGCCGATACAATGCTCACCTTGAGAAAAGAATTCGCAGATCTTAACATCTCAAGCTACAACAAACATTTCAAACTTATGAGAGAGTATAGATAATTAATATGTTAGACCATCACATCTATCATAGGATATGTGAGACCACAATAAGGAACAAGAAAATGACAATAAAGCATAAGGGTTAGCATGAAGTGAAGAAATTGTGTTTCCCAATTAACAACCAGACATTAAGCACTAAACGTCTAAAATGCATTTCCAAAATTTCATAACCAGTTCATACCGACGCAATACTTTTTCAAGTTGAATATATTCCTTTGTAATAAAATCCAAAAGCATAACATATAAAGGACACAAAGGAAGGGGGAAAGGTGATTTGTTGCTTTTAGCCAAGGAAAGATCAGCAAAAAATGTTAGAAAAAAAAAAAAGCCAAAGGCAAACCTGAAGTGAACATTTTGCCAAAAACTGAACTATTCTTTCCTTCTTCTCGCGCTCCATTAGTCTTCAAGATATGCAAATCATGTCCATCTAGGTGATAAGAAAACAAAACAAAATATTAACAGATCATGATTTTGTTTAGCGAGTTAAGGAGACTTGCCTGTTTTTTTTTGGAACACCCTTTTATTTCCTCTTCTCAGAGGCCGAGGGAGATTTTTTGTGGTTCCCAAAAGAAAAAAAGAATTATACAGAAAAGTTATGGCAAGCAAAAAAGGGAGAAATTATACATAGAAAAGGGAAAATGAAGGTGAGAAAATAAAACCTGTGAGTAGCCAGTTGAAAAAATAGTGAGCGATCTACAAGATCACACAAAAAATTGTGGTCCAAAAGAAGTAAGAAATTAGGCATAAAAATAGCAAATTAACAATATAAAAGAACCTGGTATCAGATTTTCAGCTTCCAATAGTGGGGAAAAAATTAGATAGAAGAGGAGGAGATAAAAGGAGAGTTGAATTTGAGGAAGTCTTCTTCATAAAATGAGTCTTCAGAGGTTTTGGTACGGAGAAGAAAGATGATTTTGGATGGACGAAAGAGAAGTGAGGAGAGATGATCGAGAAAAACGAGTCATGGATAGGTGATTTGCAGCGGAGAGTGGTTACCTCGAGCCACGCCCACACGCCTTATCGTTTCTTTGGCGCAAAAGACGAGGAAAGTACTTTTACTAATTGCATTGCCTACGGTAATTTTTTTCGTCAAACAAAAAAAATGGTAACTAAGTGTGATTTGTTGGGTAACCGAAAAAATGACATTACAAATTGCATCTAAATGTGATTTCTTGCATCATTAATTAGTTATCACATGACGAGGAAAGTAGAACAAGAAGAAAACAAAATGAGAATAACTAACCTGCTTGTATAAAGAGGTCCAGTATCGCAGAAATTAATAACAGCAGAAGCTATCAAAGAAACCACGAGCAAGCAAGAGGCAATAAGAAAAGGTGGGAAAAAACACGAGCGACAAAAAAAAAGAAGCTGATTTGGTGATAAAAATATAGTAGGGTCAGGGGAAAAGTAAAAATGGTCGAACCAATGCACAAGAAAGTAGAGAATCAAGGAAGAAATAGAAAACAAAGCAGCGTAACAGCAATTCAAAAATATTCGAACAATTAGACAAAAAACTAAAGAAACCAAACTGTAAAATCAAGATGCTCACCAAGAAGCAGTGACAACAACACCAGTGCAAATTAAAACCAAGGCAAAAAAATCGGGAAAAGAAAGGTCCAAGATAGCTAAAGAAAATGAAGGACAACGCTTATGAGGTAGCTCTTTCTCTCTAGCAAAGAAACAGAGCAATAGAATATGAAAAAGAAAGCAGTAGATGCACAATTACCACTGTTCATGATGTGAGCAGCAAAAATTCTGCCATGGAAAACCGGAGGAACTCTATAACCACTGTGCAAATGCAAAATAGAAGCCAGCGTCAATCAACGGGAGCAAAAGAGCTGATGGGCGACAACGGGAAGAGGTGACGGTAGCTTGCAGATTTACAGACATGACCCTAAGCAAAGGACAAAAAGAATACAAGGACTCTTATGAGGAAGCGTAAATGGAGCGACAAAGGATGGGCAATATAATAAAATAAGACAGGTAGTGTTCAGCTGAGGTACAATCAGCTGTCAAGAAAAGGAGGCTGGAGGCTTATGACAAGTAATGTGACTATGTGAGCGGTGGATGAAGAAATCGAGAAACAAATAAAATCCGTCTATAATTAATGGCAAAGAATTGGTAATTAAGTATGTTAATTTATAAAATTTGTTAATTACGAAGCAATTAATTATTAGGACCGCCAAAGGCAAAGAAGAAAAGAGTAACGAGAAGCGCTTTTCTCAAGTCAGAGCAATGTAGACATATTAATTAACTAACAATTAATAGCAACAATCAGGTAATTAGTTGAAAACCGTGGGAAGCACTTTTCTCAAGGAAGAGCAACGTAGACATATTAATTAACTAACAATTAATAGCAACAATCTGGTACTTAATTGCAAATCGTCGGGCAACAAAAAGGTAACAATATTAATTAATTAGTTAGCAATCAATTGTTAAAAAGGGCAACCAAATATGATTCAATCCGCAACCAAAAAAAGAGGCTAAATTTTGGCTAATAACTACCTAGAACCAGTAATTAAATGCGATTTGTTGGGTAACAAATTTTAATAATTATAAAATCCGGTAATTAAATGCGACTTGTCTGGCAATAAAACAGCAAAATTAGAACTTAATTAACAAAAAACAATTGGAAAAAAGTTGATAATTAAACTTGATTTGTTGGGTAACCCAAGATAAAGGAGGGCATTTCCTTAATAAAATCTGGAAAACAAAGGTAACCAAACACAATTTTGTGAATGGTCAAGGGTTTTTTTTTGTTTTTTGGTTAAGAATTGCAAAAAAGTCATGAACTAAATATGATTTGTTGGGTAACCAAAAAAACGACAATAAAAAATGACATCATTAATTAGTTATTAACAATTAAGAATAAAAAATTGGTAATTAAATGCGATTTATTGGGTAAAAAAATGGAATCCAAATAAAAAAGATAAATAAATAGTTATAACAATTAATAGTGGAGAATCAATAATCAAACGCGGTGCGTGGCGTGCATAAATGATAAATGACACCAGTGGAAGCGCATTCAATTGTTGATTGTTTACGTAGAATCGATACCAAATAAAATTGTAATGAAAATTTGATAATAATAGTCGAATGCCTTCCCCTCTCATTCCAAAAAAAAAAAAACACGTGTTAATAATTAATATAAGTCAATTACAAGAAATTGATAAGTAATTGTGATTTATTTGGAAACTACAAATATGTTAATAATTGTAAGAAGTTGATAGTTAAATGTGATTTGTTAGGTAATAAAAATTCAAATTAAATGTGATTTTTTGAACAACCACAAAAAAGCGGTTTTTTTGCTAATAATTGGAAAAAATGCTAATTAAACATGCTCCGTTGAATGATTAAAAACATGGCATTATTAATCGATTATTAACAACAAATTTCAAATAATTTGTAATTAGAGGTAATTCCAATCCAATAAGGGAATCAGAGGGGCTGTAGCATCCAAAAAAAGGTTATTAACAAGCACTTCCAATCCAATAAAAAAAAGGAAAAAAAAAAACAAAGGATGTGGGACCACAATTTAGCGGCGGGCTTCCAATGTAGACGTCCAAGCAAACAAAGAAAGGAAACAATCGGCTGGACGACCAATTCACGCGAGCAAATTCACACGAAGCAGACGACCACCAATCGGCCAATGGAAGCCCGCCACATCAGCAATCAGAACTCAATTGAAAAGCTCCCCATTCCCGCATAGACTAGATTTGTTAATTAACATCTTATCATGCACTACAAAATACAGAAGTTATAAATAATGGGATAGACCTAATCCATAGATTTATTTATGGATGTTCCAATCAATTGGAGAGTTGATAGATGATGGCAAAGAAAATTGTTGTGGCTATATAATCCACCAGTAGTTTGAGAAATTGAGTCTACCTAAATATTTTTCAATTCGAGTTGGAATATGTTAGGGTACTTTTGAGACTGCCAAGAACGAAATGCGGAAAGATGATGAACATAAAAGATGTAGTATTGTTAATTGCCTATTCTCTATGAACGTGGATACTTGAAGCATATATCTAAAGGGAAAATTCTAGTAACCTTCCTTGAGGTTTCTGATAGTTTCCCTTAATTTTAAAAAATATCACCTGTCTCCCCTCCTTTTGTCTATTTGTAACATTGTCAATCTATTTCAAAATATGTTATTAAAAATTCATCTCTAGATAGAGAAGATGTTTCATTTCAAAAGTACCCTTTTTTTTTTCAAAATTGAAAGCACATAATAGAAGGTTGAAAATAAAGAGAAGCTATGTAAATGTGCAATGTTGATAGAATCAATATAATAGTGATAATTTAACATATAAAAGAATTGGTTTAAGAACAAATTCAAAGTGTTTTCAAGCCTGAAAAGATTATGCCTTCATTGTAAAGTGTTTTCAATCAATTTGAGTTTTTCAAAATTTTAAAATTTTCTAAAATAGTTTTCTAGATTGATGCCTTGGAAAAAAAAAAAGAAACAACATTATTGTTTACAAACTCATTTGAGCTTTTCTCAAAGACCAAAAAATTTTCTCTTAATTTAAAGAGTTTGTGGATGAATTTAAAAATTTATGATTATGTACATGTTTATTGGATTTTTTAAATTTTTTGTCCAAACCATTGGCTTCAAAATTCGAAAAGGATAAAATTCTTAACTATATAATTTATTTGAGGTGCTTTAGGTACAAAGTGTTTTTTTATTCTATAATTCTTGAATAAATTTTATGACTTTTCTAAATTATTTAGAATTTTAAAATTTTATTATATGTCTTGTGTAGACTAATGACACAATTTATTAATAGTTCTTTCAACCTTGTTAATACCTTGTAATTCCTAATTAAAAAATCATATCAGCCAAATTTTCAGAAGTTAAGGAATTAACTAGATTTGGTATGAAAACAAAATTGTTCACAAGTAAAGGTCAATATTGGAATGAAAATCTATTGTCTATCCACTCCTGTTTAGCAAATGAGCTTTTTGAATATTTGTTTAAAATTTTACTGTAACTTACTATAAAAGTTGTAGGAAAATTTTTAGGTATTTTGAAGTATATAATTTAAAATTTTTAAAAAGTTTTTTGAGGTTACTATAGTTAAAATTATTTAAAAACTTATATAAGACAAAATTTGGCCAAAAAATTGTTTGCCAAACATATCCATATATTGAAATGGGTTGACAATGATACAAAATGTTTAAAATAAAGGAGACAAGTGATGTTTTTCCAAATTTAGAAGTGCTAAATAATATTGTTACAAATTTCATGGGAGGTTTCTGAAATTATCCCTTATCTAAAACGGATATTCTTTCAATTCATTTGGACTATATTCCGAATAGTGTGTACTTCAGATGCAATTCATCTATAAAACGGTCATTCTCCTGGCAACCAACATACGCAAAAGCAAAGAAGCAAAAATACATAACTGAAAAAAAAAAAGAATGGGTTTCTTTTTGCAGCCACTGTTCTTAGCAATAATATCCCTGCTGATGATTTTAAAAATCTTGCTATACAAACAACAAAAGTAAGGCAGGTTAGTGATATTTTTAGAATTTTAGGGGTGTTAGGTGAATTGAAGAGAAACCTCAGGGGAGGTTTACAATATTGACTTATTGAATACACTTATTTATGCCAATTATACTCTTCATACTGATTATATTTTTAAACTAAATTACTATTTACGCATATTTTAAAACTTCAAATTTAATTGCTATTAGCGAAATTATATTGATTTTTTTTATACGAGTAGTATTTTTTATCTTGGAAACTACTTTAATTAGAATTTAGTTTAAAGACATTCACTGGAGTTTGGACGCATCCAGAGAGCACCGATCGATGTATCTTTATGCATAAATTGGAATAAATATGCAACTTAATTTTTTAAAATAAATTTCTACTCTATATCCGAAATTTACTTTTTGGATAGTAGGTTTAGTTCATACTATTTTTCATAGTATTTAAAAATATACAAGTACAAAAAAATTTTAAATTATACCTATAATCATGTATTATACGAGTATATTATAAGTACTTACTAACCAAGGTACTAAACTTTAATCATTGATAAAACATCCTATCGTTATTTCAAATAAACTTCCTAATACTAGTTTGAGATAAGTT